AATAGAGGACAACTGTCTTCAGGTGAGGAACAAGACACTATACGAAGACCTTGAAAACAAAGTTGCCAGTCAGGAGCATCTGCCTTGTAGAACATATTTTTCGGCTTTGAGGGTGGCCTGCTTAGCCAAGCCTGACTATTTCACCATGCTGTGGAGGCTGCTCTGGTATTAATTCACCTCAAAGAGCAGGTTGAAGTCATTAAAATATTTTGCAGGTGGTTCCTTGAATTCATGGTGCAGCTGGATCCAGCCTAAAGGGGAAAAAAAAAAGGAGGAGAGAAGGCAAGTTCTGATGAAACACAAATTAACATAACTCATAGAAGGGAAAGAAAATCTGGTTTCAATCTCTACAACAAAGCCAAGCAACACATCAAGCTAGAAAGGAGAAATGTCAGCCGGGCAGTGCTGGGGATTTTATTGCTTTAGCACAAGTGCTTCTCCACAGTCCCAGGAGTGCCCAGGTGCTACTGCAGCAGCCAGACCCCCTGAGCACAGGTCTGGCCATTCAGGGACATGAGGGGCTTCACAACAAGGCCCCTGCTTCCATATGAGTAAAGGCTCAAGATTAGTTTTAATGCCCTGGCATTAGAACTTGTCTATTGGCCTCAGTTTCTCTTCTGCATGGAAACTCTCCATGTAATGCACCATTTCTTGCCCTTGGAGCTAGATACGCTTTTTTTCAACCACTGTTGATACACTCTGACGTTTTGGCTGTTGTGAGCAGAGCTTGCACAATGTCAAGGCTGGGAGCAGGTCAGGGTTGGGCAAGAGACTGGGAGGGAACACAGCAGGGGCTGCTGACCTGAACAGACCCCGTGGATATTCTGCACCGTGTGACGTCAAGCTCAGTGACAGAATTTCAGGGAAAGAAGGAGGAAGTTTTTCATTCATACATTTGTCAGCCCAAACAACCATCACACGTGCTGAGACCCTGATTCCCAGGAAGCAGTTGCCTATCTTCCTGCTGATGGGAAGTAGAGAATGAATTCCTCTTTCTGTTTTGCTTGCAAGTGCATCTTTTGCTTTCCATATTAAACTACCGTTACATTGACCCATGAGTCTTCTCACCTTCCTGCTACCTTCTCCCATCCTTCAGGAAGGAAAACTGAAAGAACAGCTGGGTGGGTGTTTGTCTGATGGCTGTGGTCAATCCACCACAAGAGATCATATTTCAAAATTCAACAATCTTATTCATTTCAAAAAGAAAAAGGCTGAAAAATCAGGTAAAATGGGAGGAGTGGGGGGAAGGCCCTTCACCATCTTCATTGCCCTTCTTTGGATGCTCTCTAATAGCTTAATATCTTTCTTATACTGTGGTGCCCAAAACTGTCACAACATTCAAGGTGAGGCCACACCAGTGTAGATTAGAGAGGAACAATCCCCTCCATCAACCAGATGGCAATGCTTTGCCTGATGCCCCCCAGGACATAGCTGGCTCTCCTGACTGCCAGGGCACTACTGACTCAGATACAACTTACCATCAACCAGGACCCCCAGGTTCCTTTCCTGACACTGCTTTCCAGCATCTCATTACTCAGTCTGTATGAACATCCAAGGTTGCCCTATCCTAGGTGCAGAATCCATCACTTCCCCTTGTTGAACGTCATATGGTTGGTGATTGCCCAGCCCTCTAATTTGTCAAGGTCTCTGTGCAGGGTCTCCCTGCCTTTGAGGGAGTCAACTGTACAGCTCTGGTCACTGCTGGCTTTGAAGTGGGCATGTATGGGCTGTGTCACATGTCAAAGCACAACTACTTGGTTTTTTCTGTGGGAGAGCAGTGTAGTCTGTGGGCAGGATTATTTTTTGGTCTGGAGCACGTCTGCAGAAACATGAGTGCAGGTGTTGCGATAAGGAATAGACTGTCACCTTTTCTGGCTGCCACTCTCACCAGTTTAGAGGCAACAGCAGAAATGGTGGAGATTCCTGTCTCAGCTTACCTGATATAGGACCTGTTTGTGCCATCATCTCCTATTTTCCTCATCCTGAGAGGGGCATGAAAGCTTTCTGAATTCTGCATATTTATGCCCAAGACAGTCTGCAATCAAATAGATGAGTCTGGAAAAATTACCTTCTTATGGACAAATGGAGAAACATCTCTCAGCTAGGGTGTCTTCAGCAAATCACAGCTTCAGCTCTTTCAGGATAAATGGTTATCCTGAGGAGGCTGACATCTGCCCAAGTACCCTGGCAGTACCACTGCTGGGAACCACTATGTTTGGCTGTTGCCAGGTTGGAGTTTTGTGTTACATCTCTTTGCTCTATCGTGAGCTCTTGATGGTGGCGGATGCTCGCAGCAGACAACAGTGGTGGAAGGACATGAGAAAGGTAGTGGGTATGGCTGGGGACTTTTCCCTCCACCAGTCACTTTCAGGCCACTTCCTATTCATTCCACCAGCAGTTCCCCCCAGGCCCGTGACTTTGAGGCATCTGTTTATAAAACTTGGTTTATATGTGGTGCACATTTACAGGGAAAGCATGGGGAGCACCTTCTGCCTGTCACAAGCCACTGATATCAGAGTGCAGGAAGGGAAGGGATGAGCCAGAGGACTTCAAGCTCTTCCTTGAACGTCAGCAGAACATGTCAGGGGATGCAGGACGAGCAGCAGGAGGAGAGGGACTGGGTCTTCCTCTGAGAGAGCCCAAAGGATAAGGCTGATGGCCCAGCAGACGTGTCCTGTAATGTGCTGGAAACTTATTCTATTAATAATCCCATTGTTTCAGCAAAACATCAACCTAGGGAGATTACACTGAATCAGCAGTTTCTTTTCTTTTTTTCTTTCCTGATTTAGTAACCCTGATTGCAAAATCAGAGACCTATTGCTGCAGTCGGTGATGGTGCACCGAGAAATGAAAGGCATCAAGAAAGCAGAGTAGGAAGCAGCAGCAGGGAGCACATGCAAAGGCTGAGCCAGCATTCTGGTACATTATCTCTGGCATCCACAGTGTGGCTGAGATCTCCATGTGCACTGGGAAATCCGCTGCTTGTGTGCAGAGGCTGACACCCAGATAGAAACACACCACAACACTCCCAGGCAGCCAGATGCTCACCTGAGGAATGGGAATGTGGCAGCTTGCAGAGCTGCATGAGGCTACATCAGATAGAAATAAAGGTTTGACCAGCTGAGTAGGCAACTGCAGTCGGAGGGATCATGACTTTCTCCCCCAAGGAGCACTGTATGTTGGAACACTGAAGCAGTGAAGATCAGGGCTGTCAGAATCAAGGATGTCTACCCCTCCTTTGCACCCATGCCGTCCGGGTCACTGAGAGTAGCATGGCCACAGCATGACCATCACTGGTGCAAAAACTTATCCCTGAACTTCTTTCTCAGGGAAGGACAGCACAAAGATCTCATTGCACCTTTTGTCTTTAGGAGGGCTTTTGAGAACTACAGTTGCCAGCTTATTTTTAATGCTTTGAAGTAAAATGGATTTGACTAGAAGTATTGTTAAAAGCCTCTCTGCTGTAAATGTGCTCCCTGGGTGCACCTGAATCACATCCATCCCTATAAATGTCCACTTGGCAGCACAAGTGCAGTCATTCCTAACTCATCACCTGGGCCAGCAAGAGTAGATGGCTTCAGGCTTGTGCAGAGTGCTCAGCTGGACCCCACAAACCATTAGAAATGGGCTGGATACAAGCCCTTACCCCAGTGAGGAGGTGATGCCATGAAGGTAGAGGATGCACAGGTCGTTAGTGTGGCTCACCTGATTGGTGATAACCTCTGAAGTCACCCTAGTTTGAAGGGATAATCTGAGCCCTTCACAAGGAAGCAAATTATCCCAATTCCTATGGAGTGTAGCAGAATATATGATAATGGAGGATTTCTCTTCCTCCCTGCTGGTGACAAACCAGTTCACAGCTGCACAAGCACATTTAAAAGGAGAACACAGAAGTAGATTTAAAAATCCCCACATATTTTTGGTTTAGGTCTTTCAGAGGTCTGTACATCAGGCACAGAACAGAGGACTTCACTTTGCACACAGGGTGTGGATTTCCAGCTCACCTCTACCTGAAGCTTAGGCCACACTTTACTCCATGGCCAAGGAAAGCAGTGAGGACTCAGCAGCCCCAGAGATGAACACAGACCTGCAGCCCAGGAATGAACTGTGTGCCAGGGACTGCCCTGCACCTCGAAGAGGGCAGCGCATGGTGGTGGCAGCGTGGATGAGGAGGGCTCTTCCCAGCACCTACCAACAACTCCTGCCTCTGGATTTGGGTGAGTCACTTTGCTTTGCAAAATCAAAATCAAAAGTGACACAGAGATGCCAAAATGCAAAATACCGTGGCAAGGTCTGCAGGGGTGAATTTTACAGCATGTGAGCAAAGAAACGGTGAAGAGGTAGGAATTGTGTCCCTGGGTGTGAAAAATGGATCAGGGAGGAAGCAGGGGCTGGAGAGACTGCAAGGAGGCTGCAAGTGTCTTCTCCATACCATCCCAAAAGCATTTAGTCTTCAGCATCCCCCATCCCACCATCATTCGTTTGTCTTTACAGCTCCTCCTGATTCTTTCCCTTCTTTGACTTCAGTAATGCACCATCACTAAGATATCACCTTGGTGCAAGTTACTGTGTGTTTCGTTACTACAAAGTCCTTAACTTCCCCTCCCTGGGGATGGATCTCCAAGCTAACACTGCACATGAGATCTTCTTGACTCCCTGAGGAGGTTTACTTGTGTTAGGAACAAAATGTCCATCTCATGCCTAACACTGCTATAAAGCAGAGATGTTGAATAACTCCTGGTTGAGACTCTTTCAGGATCCTGCCCAAGGCTCCATGGACTCCAAGTGAGAACATGAGAACAGCTGAATCTCTTAGCTGTGGGATTTTTTGAGGAACTGTTCAAATTACCACATCAGAGTTCTCAGGAGTCTATAAAAACTGAGCAAATAGGAAATGCATATCAGAAAGCATATCAAATCAGGAGACAGAGAGGAAGTCCCTTCAGTTCTTTATTGTCCATAATCAGACAAGGCTTTAGGTTAGCCACAAGAAATTTGTCATGAAAATTAAAGAAAGATCCGGGGAAGATCAAAATTTGAGTGATATGAACAGTCTCAGTATTTCCGACAAGATTGGGTTTGCCTCAGCTTCTACCACAACCTTTCAGATAAGTGGTAAGATTTCTTTTTATTAAATGGATTTTATCTGGTCTAAAACAACAAATAAAAATGAAATATTGCATATTAAATACTTTCTACACTGATTTTGCTAGTAAATTAACTGCCATTTAAGAATGAAAGTATGTCAAAATGTCCTTTCTAGCCAAAAGCTGATGCTGATCCTCAGAAAAAAATTATTTTCCTGTTTTAGAAAATGCCTAATTTTCTTGAGTAAAACTTTCATGTCTTAATAGTTAAGATACTAAAATCACCAGACCCAATAAAAAATGTACGTTTATGAATTTTAGCTGAGTATAAATATTTCATTGCTGACTAAACCATTCCATTGTAAAACCAATTAAAACATTGTACTCTTTTAAAACTAAGACTTTAAACTCCTGATTACATTGCTTTGAAAAAGAAAAAAAAAATCAATTAAGGCAAACTTACTGAGTGTCTGAAGTAGTTATTAATGCTTCTGAAATACTTTTTTTCTTCCTGAAGGGCAAAATTTGACAAAGCAGTTTATTTTTTTTACACTTTGCTGATAATGATTTGTTTTACACATTATGACATGTCTCCATTTGTTCTTCAGTTCAGTTTATTATTGATTTTTCATTAGTTTTGATGCATACATGCATCACTGTTGGAATCACAGGTATGCAGCACTCCGGATGGAGAGGGCATTGCTTTGAGCAGCCTGAATGCTGAATGGCAGCCTTGGACAACTAAAAGCAATGGAAACAAGGTGTTTATTGATACAGAGAGGGGAGAACCACCACATTCAAACTTGTTATAGGTTGGATTAAGTCTTGATGGAATTGAGCTGGTTAAACTGGCAAGGAAAAGACAGCCAAGTGAATTGCAGTGCAAAGCCCAGAGGAGAGGAAGGCAGCCTGCCTTTTGACAGGATCAAGCACTCTCACAGAGGGATCTTTCTGCTCCCCATCGCTAGAAAACACTGCTAATTTATTGTGGCCAAGCCTGAAGTGCTGGAAGCAAGCAGAGTTTGTAGGGGAGAGCATGTGTGGGAGGGTGCCTACCCTACTTCTATTATTTTTTAGAGCCTCAAGGCCAGAGGAAGCCATCCACATGCTGTGCTCGAACGGCCCTTGGCATCTACCTGCTACTGCTGACGGCCGGCCAGGGGCTGCTGGTGTACAAAGGTAATGCTACAGCCTTACCATGGGCTTGGCATCGAAAGAGAGCTTTGCTGGGTGCTCTGGGGGCATGGGTGAGTGGGAATGAGCACGCAGTCGGAAACCTCTGAGGGAGCACAGAGGCTCCTCCGCACACCGGGAGGCAAAGCAGCTGCTGAAGGAAACTATTCCCCCACCCCAGACACGTGCTTTGCATTTGCAAAAGCACTCCCGGCTGCACTCCTGGCTGCAGCAAGGACTAGCACACGAAAATCACCTCCCTGGTTCAAACAGGGGTGGTCTTTATCTCCAGGTGTTCTCCCAGGTGCTGAGGAACTGCTCTGCCAAACAGGCATTTCCCAGCCAGACCGGACAGGGAATATTCACTGTATGGGCTTTTTGTTTCCTCAGTGTTTAAGATGGAGAGAGAGATATTGAAATTTCAGGAACAAAATACCTCCTATACAGAAGAGATTCTGAAGAGCTCCTTTGCCAACGGTCTGATTTCGGAGAGAAGCTCTGCTGAGTACTTGGGACAGGAAGAAAACTGGAGGAGAAGCTTGGAAGAGGAAATTACCATAATCAAAAGCAGCAATGCAAACCTGATGATGATGGTGAGCAACATCACCCTGGTTGCAGGTATGGCTCCATTCCTCGATGCTAGCTCTGCAGTGGAGAGACCTGGCTCCTCTGCACCACTGGCAAAGCTGTGCCAAAAGCCTAGTTCAGATGAACCAGTAACTAGGGCAAGATTTGGTCTTCCTGTCTGTTAGTGATGAACCAGTGCCCAGGGTTGGAGTTGGCTCCAGACCCTCTGGCCGGGGATCTGGACACACCTGGAGGAGCTGGAGCACTGCCCTGTGCAGACCCCTGGATCCCCTCTGCAGCTGCACATGTGGCTCTGGGATTGTCTCCCCTCCTGTAATTTGTAGATTTGGACTCTGAGTTTCCTCTGAAAGGGTGGTATCTTCAGCCCAGACGTCAAGCCTGTCAATCCCATACTGCTATGCTCCTCACTGAGCACTGACTACTGAAAAATATCCATTAAATATTTCTTTCAGGTCCTCCTGGACGCAAAGGAGATCCTGGTCCCCCAGGTATGTTGAAAAATGAGCTGCAACTTTTCCTTTTTAAATCTTTCTCTTTATTTCATCTAAGAGACTTTAAGTGAGGATTTGGGATTTCAGTTTCTAGACCCAGACCCTACCCAATGTGCACCCACCCAAAGCCCTGGCCATGCTTACCTTTTGACTGATCCCTCAGGAGCCCTGGCTGGCCCGAGTGCTCCCGCAGAGGTTGGTAACCACCACGGAGGAGCATTTTGTCTCTTCCTCCTCACTGACACCCCACCAGAAAAGCTCAGGGGTGATGGAGCAGCTGTACCTGATCATTATCTGCAGTAGCCATCCCAAATCTCCATGTGACACAAGAGAGGACCAGTGAGGGGGTTTATGTGCATCCCACAATCAGCAGATAGCTGAGCTTTCTGCCCCAGACACAGCAATTCATGCTGTCCAGCTTACTCCAGGACAACTCAGGGAGACCTCCCCAGTCCCTGCCCTGTAGAGTCACAGCTGAACAGTGCATGTGACAGAGATGGGACCTTGCCCACCCTGTCCCTAGGAAAATGATGGCACAGACTTAGGAATGAGCTGGGCACAAGGGCTGTTCTCCACAGCCATGCACAAGCTGTTGCCCTGGGTACCTGGGGCTTGGGTAGAACTACACCTGCTGCAGGAGATAAATGTCTCCAGACTGTGAGGATGCAGCAAGTCCTGATCTAATGTTGGCTCCACTTTGAGCAGAGGTCGGACTAGGCAACAGTTTCTACCCTTCTATGATGATGATCTAAGCTGCAACCCCTCTTGGGTCAGGTCTGTGGCTCATCCATCCCTACTTCTTGGCTACACTGATGAGCTTTTCTGAAAAAAAAAAAAAAAATTATCATTTTTTTTAAAATCATGTTTTCATATCTTCCTGGCTTCACTTACAACATTAAAACAGCACCTCCTGCCAAACAGTGTTTATTACACATCAGAGCCCAATAGTTCAGTGCACTTTCATGGAAGACCTCCCCAATGGTCCCCATGAGCTGGGCTTGGCTGGATGACAGCTGGCCCCTGCCCAGCCATGCACTCAGCTAAGCTCCAAGGACTTTACCCAAGCGGTTGTGCTGGTCCTTGCCAGCTGAAGATTGGTGACCAAAACTGGTGCACGAAGGATGATTAAAAAATTCATCTCTTCCTCTCAGCCATTACTGAGAATAGATGATACGTGTCAGCTGATACATGTATTTTATATCTCAGGGCTACGGGGACCACCGGGGACAAAGGGAGACCAAGGAATCCAGGGTAAGGCTTTTCTGAAACCTGAATTACTTCTATGGATGGACATAAAGTGGCTTTATGGATGATTTTATGGGGAATCTTGCCCTCAGTGAAAGTGTAAGTAAGTAAGAATGTCATTGAAGGAAATATAAGCCTGTATAAAGCTAATGTGAGCAAAAGCAAATCTTAGCTGGAAAAAAAATCTTATTTTAAAAGTCAATGTGCAACAGTCACAGTGGGCCAATTTCACACTGTCAAGTACATGGAGAGGGGAATTTGGCTCCTGCCTGCGGATGAGCTGCATGTTCTGCTGCTGGCATTCACTAGGCACTGCATCCAATGGAGCATCAAAAAGGTGATGTTGTCCTTGCAGGCTTACATGGACCGCAGGGCGAGAAGGGGAGCAAAGGAGCTCCTGGTCCTGCTGGTTCAAGTGGTGTGCCAGGAGTGAAAGGAGAAAAAGGACAGATGGGACTTCCAGGTAAGACTTCTTCACTACCTAAGATTCTCACATGTATTTCTGTTTAAACTCATTCTACGTGAAACACTAGAAGAAGGCTTCATAGATCAGTATTTCATAAAAATCCACATAGCCCTGACCACATAGCCATTGACTGGCTTGCCAGTCAATGAGTGTCCTGGATAAACAGGACACTCAACCTAATCTGAAGGGGTTTGATTTTGTGTCGTGTTTCAGCAAAGCTCCCAAAGGAGGGCTGGGGGAAGGGGTCATGCAAAATATTGACTCTGCACCATGGAAGATTTTTATAGAGTGACCTTTGTCTAATGAATCCATAGATATTCAATTATCCGCCTATCTATCACGCCTAGATTAAAGCACCAATGTTTGCAGTAGGATTTTCGTGATATAAAATAATACAATATAATTTATATGCAGAAGCATGTGGACGTTAGTCGTCATTTTAGTGAAACCTCTTTCTGAGGGCTTTATATCTTACATAAGTCTGACTTTATACACCTTAAGTAGAAAAGTTATGCAATGTGTTTCTCCCATGTAACGTGCATTAGTGGGCATCTCCTAGATAGCTGTTACTCAGTGGTCTCACATGGGCTGAAAGCAGGATAGGAAAAGAAAGCAGATGATGCGTGTGGTGCAGAGCAGGGAAGACAATTGGACAGATTGATAAGAGCTTCCTCAGATCTTCCATCAGATCCCATATGCACCAGTGCGCTCATTAGCACAAGTTGCTCCAGAAGAGAAAAGTGATTGTAGGAGGAATACCTAAAGGCAAGAACTTCGGGATAATTCTGGAGCAGAAAGATGAAGGAGATGTAAGACTTTAAGTGAGGCACTGTTAAGTAATTGAGCTCTTTTGGAGCATGCTTATCACCTACTGAGAGAAGAGAAGGCTAAGGGGAGCTAACTCTGGAAGCACAGGAATGCGCTGTCCTGTATCTCCACTGTGGCTAGGAGAAGGGAAGGATGCAGACTGCAATAAAAGATATTTAACTAAAGGAGAAACCATTGTAGTGGTAGAGATAGCTTAAGGAATAGACTGGAGAGGTATCACAGCACCACTGCAAGTCTTTAACAGCAGATCAGACAAACATCTGCCCAGACAGTCTGACAGAGTCAGAGGTGGATCCAAAAGACCAGCCCTGTTCTTCTGCAGCTTTACAGGAATGCCACTGAATGATGGCAGGTGTAAGGCCAAACTTTGTTACTGGTGTGGCTAGACAGAGGTGCTCCACAGGCTGCAGAGACAATCGGGGTTTTTCTTTTAATTTATACGTGTGTGCTGTGCTGTTTGATAGGTGTCCAAGGACAGAAAGGTGACACAGGCAAGAAGGGAGACCCTGGGTCACATGGACCCACAGGTCCTCAGGGACAACAGGGAGTCCCAGGACTGCCAGGTTTCAATGGTAAGTGCAGAGGCCACAGTGTGACCCACCATCAGCACTCGCATGCTGTGGTGCAGGGCTGCCCTAACTGAAGCATTGGGCTAAGCCTTGTCAGCACTGATGTCAGGATGTTGTTGCAGGTACCACGGGGAAGCCTGGACCTCCTGGGCAGAAAGGAGAGGCAGGTAAGCAGTACAGAAGGCAAAGGTTCTTCTAGAGATATAGGACTGATCTCTTTTAGATGGTGCTTCATGATGAAGAAAACTGCAGCCAGCCTAGATCCCAGCCTGGGTAAGAGATGATGATTAGATGAAGAAACCACGACAATGTTCCAACATTGTGCAAACTCATGCTGCAGCCCTGGCTGCCTCATTCGGGCCCCACTCACTGTGCAGGAGACTGAGAGGGAAAGAAGGGTCCTGAACTGTGGAGGGCTGTGTCTCCTTCCTGATGTGTGTGCACATGCAAGGGTAGAAATTGGCTGCTCTGTTAGGAAAGTACTTGTGCATGTCAAGGCTGACAGACTGCAAGGACCTGGGTCCATACATCCTTTCACTGCAGAGCATCACTCCCTGCTGCACTAAGATTAGTGCTGCCAGAGGAGGGTTGCGATTTGGACAGACCCAGTGTTTGTTTTGCCTTCATAAGGTCAACTCAGTCTGTACAGTGCAGGGGCTGGTGATTGAACTGTCTTTCTTCTTATGTCCTTCAAGTTTTGTGTTACATTTCATATGTGCTGCTTTCACTCAACCTCAAGGTGTACCTGGACAGCCTGGAACTGTGGGAAGTCCTGGCCCTGAAGGCAGATCTGGTCAGAAAGGGGAGAAGGGGGACCAGGGGCCCAAAGGTAGCCCAGGTACAACACTACTCAAACCTATAACTCATTGAGCTCTTAATCTGGCCTCACTTTGTATGATGGCTTCACCCTTACTGATTTGTTTTTAATTTTAGGAATAGCAGGCACTGATGGACTCAGAGGTGAAAAAGGAGAACAAGGAGTAAGAGGTAAAGGAGAATAAGACAGGTTTGGGGTCAACAATCCTCATTATGCAGGCACGGGAAAGGAGGAGATCTATTGAGTCCTGTTCTTGGAGCCCCAGTGCATCCCAGGATGCCATGGCAGTCCTGGGCCTCTGCCAGGCTGCTGGGGGATGGCTATGTACAGAGAGTTGTTTCTACCTTCTGTAACATGTGTGAGGAGGTGATGTTGCCTGAATTTTTGTATAAATAGAAAATGCACAAACAAAGCATCAGTTTAAGATGAACTAAACAACAACCTCCCTAATCTGGAATTAAAGACAAATTTTACTGGCTAGAGGGAAGATGGGGAAGGAGGCATCCATTGTGGACTCCTCTGTAGCATTGCAGGATGAAGTGTCTTCAGAGGCCAACTTAGGGCACACAAACGAGGCCTTTTCTGTGACATTCCACTTGAAAAAGGTCACCTCTCTGTCCCAGGCACCCAAACAACAGGGTGACATTCTGCTGTACAAACCTATTCTGGTGTACTTCTCTTGAATCAGCCCTTTAAAATCCTGAATTTATATAGTGCATGCAACCTCATGGCCTTCAGGATGTAACCAAAGTCCAAGTGCTGCACCTTTCTACCTTCACTGACAGCTGAATGACAGGGATGAGAGTCACCTGGCCCAACTTTACATGCTTTCATATGTCTGATGCACCTAAATTTAAATGTCTAGGCTGTCTATATGGTTAGTGAAGGTCCAGCTGGAGGAAGAGTCTCTATGCCAGCAGTGGAGTTTAGGATATGAAATAAATTACCAGGAGTTGATCTACTTCAGGAGAAGATGTTTCTCCACTGCCTGTATTTTCTTTTTTGATGTGGTCTACACTGAGTATGATGTGAAATAAGACACCCAAGTCAGAGATAGATGTCTATAGAATAGACACCTAAACTAGATAAGTTAAAATCCTACATAAATACTAGTTTGTATAAGCTTTTATAATGTATAAATATTAGTTTTATAAGTGTATGTATGTTTGTTTGTTTTGATGATCTCAGGTCTTCCAGGGCAAAAGGGAGAAAAGGGAGACCAGGGCCCAAAAGGTAAACCTGTGTTTACAGCATAACTTACTCTGATGATGCAAAGCGCTTTAAATGCCATGTTCCACCTTTCTGCATCAACACATTCTTTCCTTGGGAAGATACAAAGGCAATTACTTTTTTGCTCTACACCCAGGCATCCAAGGCCTACCTGGTCAAAAAGGAAGCAAAGGTGATTCTGGCACTCAGGGTCAAAAAGGAGAACTGGGACCAAAAGGAGCCAAGGGAGACCGAGGATTGTCTGGTAAGACTGTTTGCCAAAGGGTCTGTGGAGCTGATGGTGCATTTGGGTTCAGGACTGTAGATCTCAGACTGGCACAAGGTGCTCTGAGGCGTGTTACAGAGCTCATTTGGAGGAACTCAACAGACCGATTAGCCTTCCCAGAAGAGGAGTGTGCAGACTGTCACATGTACACCCTGGGAGGTGTGCTAAAAGACATGCAAGTAAACAGATGCATTAGATTTTCTCAAATCACTGATCTTACAAAAAACTGGAACAAGCAATGTCCCTTTTTGCCTTGTGCAGAGACATCTTGCAGCATACCATGTCACAGAGATAAATCCCAGATAAACACAGCACTCAGGAACACAAAATTGTAAACACCTAATGGTGAGGCTATTTAACTACACCTTGCTAATTGTAGGACACAAAAGTTGTTCAAAAGGGCCAACACTACAGCTACTCTCCTTCCTTACCCTCCACCCCCTTCCCATCACATGGGTTTCCAAAAACCCTAAGACCTGTAGTCAAAAGAAAAAGCCAAACAGTAGTTATAACAGGCCGTGGGAAGCAACCAGTGCTACATATGATTTTTCTTTTAATTGTTCACATAGAATAGTAAAGGAATCCTCAGAAATAAAATAAAGTAGATCGTAAGTGAGGCTTCTCCATGCGCTCCTCCTCTGGAGCTTTGCTTCTGGAAGAGGGGAAAACTGTAACTTGGCTGGCTCCAGGACAAGCACTGCCCTCTGGGTGGGTCTCATCTTCTGGTCCCCAGAAGGAGACAGTAATAAAGGCTTTCTGGAGGTAACTTTTGGGGGAAGAGCTCATTGGATTTTTTCAAACACCCCTACTCTTGAGACCGAGATACTGCACAGAAATGTGGAGGACTGTTGGGAGCAACTTTCTGCTGTCCCTGGAGAACAAACCCCATGATGCAGATCTTCATTCAAGTACTTTAGGAGATACTGTGCCTGCTTCTGGAGAGCCCAAAGGCTATCAGAGATGTCATTTTACAGGTAGCAGTGGGAATGAGACACATTTTGCACACATGAGTGGATGGGATTTTGACCCTTTTCTTGCGTCACACATTAGGAAAACTTTGCTGTATGTTATCATACTTTTCTTGCCACATTTCTTTTACATACCCTTAGTCACTTCAGGGTTTTTATTGTCCACAATGGGAGGGAGTCTTCACATCTCCGACTCATACAAGCATTCAGAACAAGACAATAACTGGATTTCTTTGTAAGCAGCTGTCAAATGTTTGTGTTTTTTTTAATTTGGAACAGGTTCCCCAGGACCAAAAGGGAGCAAAGGTGAAAAGGGAGAAGGTACTGGACTTTCACTTCTTCTCTCACTTGCCTTCTGTATTGAAGCTACCTGAGAGCAGGACCAACATTCCCCTCTGCTCATCCTGGTTAACCCACAGCACAGCTACCAGAACCAAGGGTCTGTGCTCTGAGTTGCAGCCTGCTGTCTCCAGATGCAGGAGGGGGTTGAATTGTACCAGTAACCTAGTCCCGCTGTGGCTACAGCCACGGAGATGGGAACATCCCTCTGGTTTGGGTGGTCACTGCTTCTGTGGTTCTTATGTCTGTATAATCCATAGAGTTATTTTCTTCTCTCCTAAACTGCCAGCCGACTCCAATCATATACGGATCGTGGGAGGAAGCAGGAGGGGCCGTGTGGAAGTCTTATACCAAGGGATCTGGGGAACAATATGTGATGATCACTGGACCTTGCAAGAGGCTGCTGTAGTCTGCCGAATGCTGGGATTCAGCCGTGCAGTCTCTGCTTTCACAGCTGGTGGAGGTGAGTCCACAACAACTTTCCACATCCCCAGGCCTGGCATGGGTGGTTACATACAGCAATGTCACCTACACGAGCAGCGGGAGAGCAAAGAGGATCTCAACAGGGCAGCTCACTCCTCTTGGGATGAGTGAGCTACATGTCAAGTGCTGCTTGAACTGTGCTCTAAAGCTTGATTTCCAACAAGCCAACCATGCAATTCAACACATGCCCACTATTTCCAGGAGTCTCTTTAAAAAAAGTGCATAACCCTTTCTCTTGACCAACATTTTTTTTTTTTGTTTACTTCATCTTCCAAAGGCACTGGAACAATTTGGCTTGACGAAGTAAATTGCAGTGGGTCTGAAAGTTCAATTATCTACTGTTCAAAGAACAGCTGGGGTTCACACAACTGCGGCCACAGCGAGGATGCTGGAGTGGAGTGCAGTTGATGGGACACAGAAGCTGCCCTGGGAGCCGCTGCCACCTCTGCTCTCTCTGGGGCTCTTCTTCAAGATGCAAACCCAATTTCGTCAGGCTGTGCATATAGTCTCCTTACCAGGTCATAAAAGTATTGACAAAGAAATTTGAATTTTTCGTAAATCAGTAACGGTTGCAAAATCCCCAGGTAACCTGGAACATCCCAGCTGTCACCAAACAATTGGAGCTCAGGCAAGTGAGCCAGTTCACAGCTTTTCCAGCTACCTGACATCAGCTCACCTGCAGGAGCTCACAACTGTGTGACCTCTAAGTGCACAAGGGGGGAGATGGTCCGCATTAGCTTACTGCAGTAAGAGAAGAGGCTCAGTGTGCAGAAACAGGGAGTTTCTGCAGCTGAGCTGACTAGTCCATCTTCATCACAGTAGGACTGTGAACCTGAGCCTAAACCCCCCAGCGGGTGTATACACCCAAGACAGCAGATGCTCAGAAATCATCAGATGAACTCTCTGGCATGCGAGTATAAATACTCTCCAGAAATGATGCTGATCACAGGTTAAAGTGCAAAAATAAGTGCCTGGGATCTAAGTACCATACCATCCTGGTTTAGCATAGCCCTTGTTTTTGACCTTAGCCAAGTCCCTTGCCTTCTCTGTCAGTATTTCCTAACCAGTCTCTCCAGGAGCAATACCTTTTACCTTATCTGGTGTATAAAGCTAAGCATTTAATACCTTTAGAAATTAGATGATCCAGTAAAGCAAAAGGATGACAAATAAAAAACATATCAAATCATGGTGTATCAGAAATAAATAAACTATTGATTGGTGTTAAATAATTAAATAAATAATAAATAAACAGATAAATAAAATTACACACACATCTGTAGATGTATTAAGGAGAAAATATTCGACTGGGCTTTCCTGGCTCCTATGTGATTGATGCAATTTACTTTCAATAAATAAGGTTTTCCAATCAAGGAGAACGGCGGAATGCCAGAGGCGCGGTGGGACCTGCAGGATGAGCCGCGGGTACCGCCCCAGGACGCATCAGCCACCTACCTCCCCGCGGCCATCCTCATCCCCGCCCGCGGCTCCCGGTTATCTCAAATGCTCCTTCCCGGCACTAAGGGGAGCTCAAGGGCCGCCGCCCGCTCCGCAAAGCCACCGCGGGAGGTCCGCGGCGTCGACTCGGCTCGGCTCGGCTCGGCTCAGCCCGGATGCTGCTCCTGCCTCCTCGTCCCCGCTGCTTTATCCCACGGGGAACCGCGGTTCCTGCGCATCTCTCTTTGTTCTGCTCTTGTGAGACCCCCATCTACGGCACTGCGTCCAGCTCTGAGACCCCCGGCACGGGAAGGACACGGACCTGCCGAAGCGAGTCCAGAGGAGACCACGAAGATGCCCAGAGGGCTGGAGCACCTCTCCTCTGACGACAGGCTGAGAGAGTTGGGGCTGTTCAGCCTAGAGAAGAGAGAGGCTTTAGAGCACCTTCCAAATACCTGCCAAACATCTGGAGAGGGATTTTTGATGAGGGCATGTAGTGATAGAACAAGGGGGAATGGCCTTAAACTGAGAGTAGGTGTATATTAGCTATTAGGAAGAAATTCTTTACTATGAGGGAGGTGAGGCACTGGAACAAGTTGCCTAGAGAATCTGTGGGTGCCCCATCCCCAGAAGTGTTCAAGGTCAGGTTGGATGGGGCTTTGAGCCACCTGGTCTAGTAAAAGGTGTCCCTGCCCAGGGGACTGAATTAGATGATCTTTAAGTTTCTTTCCAACTTAAATCATTCTGTGATTCTGTGATCCCAGGAATGGGAGGCCAGTGGCAGCCACAGGGGCCTGGTGATGCAGCCAGAGATTTTCCATGATACCCCACATGTGTTACAGGGAAGGACAAAAATGTGTTTTATTCTATTGAACATCCTGATGGCACGTACAGCAAGACACCAAGCCCAAGAGCAGAGCAGTGAGCTCGGTTTGAGGACATGACTTAGGTTGTGGGAGTTTCAGTCCTCAGTAACTCCGGCTGTGGAGTTACTCCCAGTCCTCCCAGAAAGCTATTTGGAAAAAATAGGAGTGGAAAATACTTTCCTGATACAGTCTCCTGTGCCTCACTGTTTGACTGCTGAGCAGTTGGGACACTTGTGCAGGTTTTGCTGTCCACTCTTAATAGATAGAAACACATCTTCTAAGGTAAAACCCCAGATTTTGTCTGCATGTCTGAGGTGTCCCCTTGGGTGGACAGTTGCACAGCTCAACCCCAGCCTCACCTCTGTGGGGGCAGGACACAACTCACAGCAGTGGCATTTGGAGCTTGAAACCCAGCACTGGGACCCCAAGGCAGCAGGTCTGGAGGGCACTTTTGCTCCATGTGTCCACTTCTCCAGTCTAAGGGAAGGTCCATTGGTGCAGGAAGGGTGCCACAAATCACCATGGGATAGTTGGTGAGCAGCAAAAAAGCCTTTTGCAGCTACAAAAAGATGTAATTCTGAGGTGTGGAGGCTGCCTTGCATGGCCACACCATCTCCCCCCAAATACCCAGCTCAGTGCTATTAGATCCCAGCTTGTAAGTCTCTGCAGTGCCCTAAAAGAGATGTCTGTGACAGCTGAAAAGGAATGATGCAGCTTTGCTTATCATTTACACCCAGCACCAATTAAAAAGACTTAGTTAAGCAAAATGCAATTACACTGTCATGGATAAAAGGGATACAATTAACTAAAAAGGGACACTTTCCCTTAGGAATAATGTTATTTCCAGTTGCTTCCATCCCTGTCCCTGACCATTCCTTGTGATCTGAAGAGATTTGGGGTGGGGAGAACTGGGGGGATTTGGGTAGTTTGTCTTCCCTTCTTACTGGTTCACATGTATTTCTGAAGTAAGTCAGCAGAGTCCCTTGAGAACACAAATCTTTTCTTGAACCCTAAAACATCATTTCCAACACACCCAGCACTACTTTTCCAAGAAGATGAACATTTCATAGAGGCTGTCTGGCACCAAACTGAAACTTTTCTCCTTTTGGGGAGAAAACTGGGCCTTCTGTCAGCTGTGAAGGAATGGGGAACAGCCAGGCACTGTGGGATACATGCTGTGGCTGGAAGGATTTACCAAAATCCACAGGGAAGCAACTGAAGAGAGGTTTCTCATCTCATGCCCCTTGGGAAGGGAGGAGATATGTGCCATCCCTCTCAGCCCACTGCACAGGCAGGCACCCAGGCTGCTGCTTCCCCAGCCAACACCTCTTCCATGGACAGTTGGATCTAGAAAACTCGGCCCTGCAGCGAGGTGCCAATTTTGCAGCATCAGAACTTTAGGTCCTGGAGGATCCTGCTGAGAATGTGTGTTAATGAATAGAGTGTTTGTCTAATCATTTCCATGTCTTGATATTGGCATTACTGTCAAACCTCAGGAAAATGACATGAAGGAGAAGGCTGAAGGTTGCCCCTGGAGTTTGGTGAGATGCTGAATGCAGTTTTTGTATCCTCAACAGAAGTCACAAGTCAAAGCCCCACTCAGGCACACAGAGATGCTGAAGGGCAAAATATTTACTGACTAAAAGCCAGTTCTTCAGGTTTCCAATGCCTGAAGTTTATACCTGATGCATCCATAACACACCTCTCCTTACCAAAATTACTGACAATTCCAGTTGCAAAAGTGAAAAAAGGCACTTATTACATTAAAGTCATAATTTTAAAAGATGCAATGAAGGAATTACTTTTCTGCTCATATTACAGACAGGTAAACACCATTAACACACATGCTGGCTGTATCTAAAGATTAAACTAATCACATCATATAGGAGTCACTAACTGTATTTTCATCCTTCTCTTCTGAAGTCTTCTGATGTTTTAGATCACATCGCCACAAATCTGCCAGCACATTTCTTAGCTTTTTCTGCTAAACATCATGGTAGAAGGCAGCATCTGGTCTCAAAACACTCAGACATTTTTTTTTGTCTTGCTTGGTGTCAGCACCGGTCATGTTTTGCTTGGTTAACTCTTCTCCCACTGGCATGGTCCAGGAAAAGCCCAATCATCCAGTGCAGTTCACAAGCCTGAGCCACAAGTTTTTCTGATCTCCACAAAGGGGCCAGTTTGGCTCTCACTGGCACTGCCACGAACCTAGAGCATTCATTGGTGCAGGCAGCTGCTCTGCTGTGACACAGAGCTGAATTTAACCCAAGGTATTTAAACAAACTCTTAGTGGTGGCTCCAAACGATTATCCATTTATTTCAGTATTTGTCTTTTCAAATGTGACCTAAAATCTATAAGTAATTAGTTATTGTACTGACTACGGTATTGCAAAATGCTTCCCTTCATTTTTTATTCAGACTCTGAGCTATAACTCCAAAATCATTCTAGTCACACCAACCTTCAAAGGTCTAAATGGGGAGGAAGGGGGGCTAACGCCATAGTATCTTTGAGATTTGCAAGAATATTTGAGGATTTTCTGGGGATTCAGTATGAGATGAAAAAAAAAAAAAAAAGGAGGTTTGCAGGCAAATAGAGGAACTTATGCCTCCAGTTCAAAAGGAAAGACAAATCCAAACAGAAAAAGATTTAAATGCTAAAATGCTAAATAAATATTGTTATTCAACAGCAGTCTTTGTCTTTTGAGTCCTAGGTTAAAACTACTTCACAGGGACAATAAAAGCTCGTTACTCTCCTTTGTTGAAGCTAAATGAATTTTAACAGCACAAGTTCCAGAGTGAAGAGGAATTGCCTCCTAAAACTCCTCCTAAGCCACCTAGACACCACAGTGGGGTAAGGCAGGAGAGGACTTCGGGAGCTGTTAAATTAGTAGGTGAATAAGAAAATAGTACACAAATTGCATTTATTCTGGGTCTGCTTGTGATATTTTGTATAAATGCTAACAAATAAGTGGCACTGTGAAGGTGCTGGTTCCACACCATCAGGGTATCAGCAGCACAAGGAAGCAAAATTCTGCAATGACCTTGCCTTAGGAAATCCCAGTGCAGTCAAAGGATTCAGAGGGCTTTCAGGCTCAGGCCATAAATCAC